ATATACGCATGCTAAGCATGAACCAATTCTTTAAGTGATGATGGCCTACATTTAGTTGATGGTTAGTTTTAACTGAAAGTTACAAAATGAGGGGAGGATCACAATAATAATAATAATAATAATAATAATAATAATAATAATAATAATAATAATAATAATAATAATAATAAATGAAATATTAAATGCCCTGAGAAATGTAAAAATCTGTCATTCCTGGTTCACTAGTCATCTTGAGGCACTAGAATAAGAAAGAAAAAAAATAACCCAACTTAAAAAAGCATGTTTCTACTGATTGTCATTAAACCAAAGCCAAGGTAAACACATCTGAACAACCACAGCAGAAACATTGAAAAGGCCCTATTAGGGTAAAATTCTGATGGGCAACATGTCATTGAGACAGCATCGTGGAGGCAGACAAAAGGATGAAAAATGACATGACTTGTGATGAAATTCACAAGCAGCACATAAATCACCCTACTGACAGGGCCTCATAATGCAAATAATGCAATGAGCCAATCAGATATTGACTTAAAATATGCAACTGGACAACTGTTTTTTTTCCCCTGAATGGTTAAAAAGTTGGGATACACATGGAGTACCCTGTTAATAATGTACACTATATTATATGTGACAGTACACCATCTGTACCTCTTTGGCCAGGCTTGTAATAGAAACAATAACTGTCATTGTCATTATCATGACATAACAAGTGCTGCAAAAGATGTTAGCTTGGGAAGTTTGAGAGTTGTTTTGTCAGGCAACTACAAAGCTGAAAGGCTCATTCACCTTGAAGACATTTGTATGCAAAAGCGTCACTTGTACGTTTTAATTTTTTTTTCAGAATTGATTAATGAGGCTCTCTTTCATCAAGTTTCTATTACTAGAGACTGAAGTGAACTGGGGTCCCCTAAATCCATGTGGCCACTGTATGTACCTTGAAGGCTTAGGAAGTTATGTCAATGAAAGCTTGACTAATTAAAGAAAGAATATCAATATCTTACGTCAATGAGCCACAACCTAGACATTGTTCAGCAATTACAACACTCAGACTTTTCAATTTAATATGACATGCAGTGCTTCTATTTTTCTGTTGTCAAAACCTGTGGACTAAACTAATAATAGGCAGCCAGGCAGTTAGAACACATTGTTTTTGTTATTGTGTTTCTTACCTTCTCATTTGCCAGGTGAAGGATGCAGACGAAGGCAATGGACACTGACAAGTTCTTTGCCATGTTCTTGGAAAGTTTTCCAGGTAACTGAGCATAAATTTCTTTGAATGAGTGAGGAGTGGTCACAGTGCTATTGTCTGTTTGTTTTCCCTGCTGATCTATGGCAACATTTTCCTATAAGATGTGTAAACAAAGAGAAAATAATCAAGAAATATGGGACTGTTTAGTGGACAGTCTGAACAAATCTGAAGCTATACCATGTCAAATCAACTCAGTATTACTTCGGTATAAAAACATCGAGGGGGCATTGCCATGCCAAGTCAATATTACCTATTAAAAGTACAACAAAGAGGTACCAATCACAAAACATTGGCATGGAATGTTGTTTGGTTTGGCTTGGACTGGTTGGAATTAGGACTGATTCAGTCTGAAGAAAATAAAAGCCAGCTATTTTAAAGAGCTATATGTAGAGATAAAATTAAATAGGCAGCAGTATGGCTTTTAGCATGTTTTCTTACAGGACGTTTTCCAAAACAAGTAAGTTGCTCTCTAGAGATAGACAAAATGAATAGATATAACAAAATAATTTATTAGAAATAGTGGAAGTTTTACATGTGTAAAAGTTTGGAGCAGAACTTTTAGAACAACCTTTGGTAAGCTACATGTAGTCAGAAAGAATATCAACAAACCTTGTTCCCTTCACCATTTTCAGTTAGCAGTCCCCACATGGCTCCCTTCAGCTTTTTTACATCCATCTTTTTGGCAGTTTTGGCATAGCCAATATCAATTTTTTGAACCTGCCAACAAATTAAGTCAATCTTGTGTTTAAAGACAAATGGTACAAGTTTGAGTTCATGACGTGTACTTCAATACTAATTTTTGCTCTGTTGCAACACAATTTCCTCTGTTCATTTAATTTACTGCTCCAAATTTTAAACTAATGAGTGAATTATTTTTCTCAGAAAAACTGTGCTTCTTTCAAACTTGTGACTTCTTTTCATTATGTTGCGTTATTTACCTAAAAGGGAACATAACATGACTGAAAATTCAAAATCTAGGACAAACTGTCATTGATAGACAATGGGCCACGAATACGTAAGGTTTTGATGTCAAATTGAAAAAATCTGGCACACTTTTTGAAATTCTGTAGTTTTCTTGGAAAATATTGCTTAAATTTAATTTCAGTTTGCTCTCCCTTCAACAATTCACTTGATGTCTTCATCTTAGTGTTCCAGAAGCATTTCATGAACAAGCAAAGATAATCATCATTTTAGCACTGTTTTGACTAAAAATACAGCAAAATTGATGTGATTTTTAAAAATCTTCTTCTTGCTTGTCTGCACATGAGCCTGTTCTTTCCTAAGTCGATTAAGTTAACTTTTAAATATTACAGTCACCCAGAACAGGAAATTCGGTTAGCAGGCACGTACCACATCTAACAGCTATGAACTTGTTGCAAATTTGAAAAATTTCCTACTTTTTCAGAAATTTACTTAGATTTCAACACTTTTTCCAGGCTTGGAAAGCCAGTCAGTGATTGTTTCGCATACAGGATGAGCACTGGGAGCTAAATCACACCTTATTGGGTTGGGCAACCAGACCATCACCAGTAAAGAGTGTTTGCTCCACGGCACTCTCATTAGTGAAGCTGAGGCCCTGGGAGCAGTCGCCAAATGTCATGTCCTGTGATGTCATATCCTGTGACATGGGGAATCCAGCTTCTCCACCTGGCAAGTCATGTGCACCATCTGCAGCATCAAAGACGTCGTCATCATCATCATCATCATCATCACCATCCTGCCAACACAGAAGTACACAAAGATACCCTTTGGACCAGCATCTACCATACAGTAGAGAGGGATACTGCTTTGGAATGGACAATTTCCAGGACACTTTCTTAGAAGTAGACTTAAAATTAGTTACTTTTCAGTTTGTTGATGTAAATTGATATCATTCTTGTTTCAAATATAATAATATAATTCCTGAATCTTCTGTTTACAAATATATTTTGCAACCTCTTCTGTGCTACATGTAAGTTACATGTTCACAGTTTGTGGTGAATAGTGCATGAAATGTGCACCTCCAACTGTACAAATGAGAAATGATGAGAGGGTGGTAGGTTGCCCATCCTCATGAATTGGTCTACTGCAAGTATCTGTGAATTGGGCTGGACACCACATTTATATTGACAAGATAGTCAAGTCAAAGTCTTCAAGCTTTTTGGATTAAAAAGACACTATCAGTATGACTCTGAAACATCAAAACCGAAAGACATAATTTTCATTGATGGAAACTAGTTGAGACCTTAATATTATGGTGTAGTTTGTAAAAGAATTACTATGTAAGTGTACCGAAGTTTTTTTCTTGACCTGCAAAAATTGCTAACAATGATTTACAATTTGTGCTACCTTCAACAACGTACTTGTATGTTCCTCTTGTTGTTCTAGGAGCATTTTGTGTACAAGTAAAGGTACTCAGTCATAGTTTTTGCACTGTTTGAACCAAAATTACAATGATAGCACTCCTTTAATATGCAAATATGTAGTAAATTACCATCTCTGCTGTTTCCTATAAGTTATTTCAGTTTTTTAACACCTGAGTACATCTCAGATAACATAACTTATGGTACTTACTTGGAGATCAGGACAGTAATTAGCACAGTCATTTGCATTGTCGTAGTTATACCATGCTGAGCCTGCCAACGCAAATATATAATTTTTCTGAATTAAATGCTGTATACCCACTTGTCTTGGTGAACAATGAAACTCTCTTTTCTATGAAATTTACTCAGTTAAGAAAGAAGAATACCTGATAGCTTAAGGTGGTTCAAAACAGTTTCCAATCATTGGTGAACAAGTTATTATCATTATAATGGCACAACAGGTTACTATAACAACAGTATGACTTGCTAAAAAGACCCTTAATTACAGCTTTAGAGGCTTACAATTCAAAAATAGCACAGTGAGATTTTTCAGAGCCACCGTTAAGTTTGAAAATTTAAGGTGAGCCCTATGTACAGAATTTTTTAAAACTTTGCCAAAAGTTGCATCTTATCATGCTTATCAAACTTGATAATAATTATAAAAAATTTTTGCCATACCATTTTTGAATTGTAAGCTTTTAAAGCTGTAATTAAGGGTGTTTTCAGGAGGTCAAACTGTTCCTATGGTAATGTGTTATGTCACGAAAATGATAACAACATGTTCACCAATGATTGGGTAGTTTTTTGATACCAGGATTGTAGCATCAAGTGATAAAGAGTGGTTATAACAACCCATCAAAATCTAAGTGCTGGAATCTGTTTTGAGCCACCTTAAGAGTGGCAGTACCCACTGACCAAGTTAGTTAATTCATTTGTTTTCCTACACAAGTTTTGATTAAACAGAGTCATGAAATAAACACTGCAACGAAATACATCAAAATCTTTGGTCATTTCATACTAATTAAATTTCTGAAGGAACTTTGTATAGAAGGATTGCTGTAACCATCCCTCTAATGGTATCAAGCAAGTTCACATGCTTACCATCATCTCTAATCTCTGTTTGTGCCTGAATTTGACGTTTAACCTTTTGAAAATAAAACACACAAGGTCTCAAGATGTGAAGTGAATTATTGTGGACAATTTGAGGAGCAACCAAAAAAAAAAAAAGAAAGAAAAGAAAAGAGAAAAGCTAGATCATAGGGAGCAAAGCATCAAGTATGTAGAACCATACTGGTAAGATGACCTGATTGGAGGAATGCTCCCAGGTTGAAAACAGAATAAATAATCTAACAGACAATTAGTGCACATTCTATTACCCAGTTTCCTCACTATTTACAAGTAAACTGGAGCTTATGGTCCCTTTAAAAGAGGGTCTGCAAAGGGACCCTGGAAAGTCAGTCATTCAATTTCAGTGATTTGCCATCTATCACTTCACATCTAAGTTTTCAGTCAAAAATGCATCAGTTCTCAGCTGACAGTTAACACTTTGACTAACTCTCCACCTCGCCTATCAGTGAAACAATGTAAGGTTTCTTGCTACAGTTTTGAGGCAACTTTAAATCTTTTGTAAAATGTTCCAAGATATTTTTTCTATCTCTAGTAACTGTCTGCTTAGTAAGTTTTAAACCATGATGTGGGACACTTGAGCCAGGTAAATGACAATAAAAAGTCGCATGGCTGAGTGGTTGAGCGACAGCCTGTGAACAGGCTCTGGTTGAAAGGGTCTTACCGAAGCTGGAGGGGCCAGAAAGGAACTGGCTCAGAGTGAAGTTGCTGAGGGGGGAATGGGGTGGGGCTTGGGGTCTCTCCCCTACTCTCCCTTTTCTCCTCTTTCTCTATGCCCCAACCTTGACCAGAGAGCCTGTTCACAGGCTACTGAGGGAAGATTGGGTAATATAGTTCTAATGATATATTTCTCTCAGAGTCTTCCCATGGGAACCTACCTCAAAATTTGAGGATTAGAAACTGGGTCAAATGAAACATTCGTGCAAAATACTACATTAACAATGCACAAGACAGGGTTTTTCTGCAAGCTGGGGAAATGTAACATTTTGCCTGTTACAAAAAATGGAGAAAAAAATCTTAAAACTCATGTTCTGGTACTGCAGTCTTCTCTCAAGCACTTGGTTGTTCACTGTGGATATTTATTAAAGCCCATATTGTTCATGAAGTGTTGTATGATTATAAGAAAAAAATGTTGGAATATTTTACAAAGGTTGGGTCTCTGTTATTCCCTCAAAACTGACAGCAGTAAACCACAATGAGCTAGTTCTGAAAATGTCAGCTTGCCAAATTTGTCTCGCAGTTAATTTAGCTTTATCAACTTAACAATCAACTGTAAAGCATTTCATTTCTGAATTCTGTCAGGATGGTCTTGTTGCTTACCATGATCCTGGGCTTGATGAAGAGTCTAAAGAGTTTGTCAGCATCGTAATGAAGGTCTTCTGGTAATGTTGTCTTTGTTGCTGTGTGTTTTGCAAGGGTTGCTTTGGACAAGGTTGTCGCAGCCTGATACATAAACCAAAATGACAAAGCAACTGTTAGGGCCCATGCATATGGCTTTAGTAACATTGTGACACTAGAGCTCTTACTATTAAAATTCATTTCTCACAAAACTTTGGACTAGCTTTGGTTACGTTTACATTTTAAACTGAGAGGAGGTAACCATTGCATTTATTTCATAACATGGGAGAGTATGCTAGCCAGATGTTGTGCTCTTGGGAAAATGCAATTTCTCAAGCCACTTGAAATGGCAGTGGGAAGCCTGAACAACATGCTGGGTTTATTAATTATCGCAATGGACTATGGCATCCCATCCAGTCAGCAGGTAGCAATTTTCATATAGTTGCCTCATGCTGTGGAAAACTTCAGATAGCAAGTACATCCCTGGTAAGATACCTTAATAAGCAGCCCAGATCAAGACCATTTCATGGAACACTAAAAAGTTTATTGGAGTTTTAACCTTAACCCTAACCCTGCTGAGTGCAGCCATTCATCTGGATCTTCTAGACACAAACATTCCCAGGGCCACTGAATATGTGAAGACTGAGGATTATGAAAGGTGATTNATATTGTTCATGAAGTGTTGTATGATTATAAGAAAAAAATGTTGGAATATTTTACAAAGGTTGGGTCTCTATTATTTCCTCAAAACTGACAGCAGTAAACTGCAAAAAACTAGTTCTGAAAATGTCAGCTTGCCAAATTTGTCTAGCAGTTAATTTAGCTTTATCAACTTAACAATCCACTATTAAGCATTTCATTTCTGAATTCTGTCAGGAAGGTCTTGCTACTCACCATGATCCTGGGCTTGATGAAAAGTCTAAAGAGTTTGTCAGCATCATAATGAAGGTCTTCTGGTAATGTTGTCTTTGTTGCTGTGTGTTTTGCAAGGGTTGCTTTGGACAAGGTTATCGCAGCCTGGCACATAAACCAAAATGGCAGAGCAACTGTCAGGGCCCATGCATATGGCTTTAGTAACATTGTGACACTAGAGCTCTTACTACTAAAATTCAATTCTCACAAAACTTTGGACTAGCTTTGGTTACGCTTACATTTTAAACTGAGAGGAGGTAACCATTGCATTTATTTCATAACATGGGAGAGTATGCTAGCTAGGCATTGTGCTCTTGGGAAAATGCAATTTGTCAAGCCACTTGAAATGGAAGTGGGAAGCCTGAACAACATGCTGGGTTTATTAATTATCGCAATGGACTATGGCATCCCATCCAGTCAGTAGGTAGCAATTTTCATATAGTTGCTTCATGCTGTGGAAAACTTCAGATAGCAAGTACATCCCTGGTAAGATACCTTAATAAGCAGTGCAGATCAAGACCATTTCATGGAACACTAAAAAGTTTATTGGAGTTTTAACCTTAACCCTAACCCTAACCCTAACCCTGCTGAGTGCAGCCATTCATCTGGATCTTCTAGACACAAACTTTCCCAGGGCCACTGAATATGTGAAGACTGAGGATTATGAAAGGTGATTGCTGGAGTGCAATGCTAGCATTTGCAGGATATGATGTGCAAGGCTGCTAATGGCATTACCTTTCCTCTTGAAAAGCTTTTTCCAAAATCCACTTCACTATCAAATTTGACAGTAAAGGGCTGTTTCTTTGTTCTCTTTTTCTTGTTTTGTTCTTCTGAACCTGACATAGAGTTTGGTAAACCTGTAACAAGGATGCCTCTGTTCAGTTCAAGTTATAAAATCATCAACATAGACAAGGCTGTGGCCAGAAATTACCTCATTCTGTGAAAATACAGTCGAACCTCCCATAAGTGATCACCCAAAAATGTCAAGCCTAAGTGGTCGCTTACAGGAGGTGGTCCCTTGCATACTGGGTCAAAATAAATATCGTGCCTCATTAGCATATGGTAATTGCAGAGACTTAAATCATGTTTTAACTGTTTTATTCAAGTGAAAGACAATTTCGAGAAAAAAATCTGGTACTTCCCATTGAGGAATTTCCGTCTCTTGTACTCCCAGGAATGCGATAATGTTACAACACCTTATTGTCCAATTTATGGTCTACTATCTGTGAAGTGATCGTTTACGGGAGGTTAAAAACAAAATAAAATGTCAAACTTTTAGCTTTAAAAGTGGTCGTGGCTGCTTATGAGAGGTGGTCACTTACAAGAGGTTCCAAAGAGGTTCAAGAGGTTCCAAATATAGTGATTTGACTGTCGTGGGAAACCAGAGGTTCAACTGTATAGTTTGACTTCACATCATATCATCAAATGGATCAATAGAAGACTTGTAAATTAAGATATAAAAAAAGATACATGTAGAACTCTTCCCCATGAATTAAAAGGCTTCCAAGGCAATATTATTTTACAAGTAAGCAAATACAACATATTTTTCACCACAAAACCAAAGAAATCACATTTTGCAAATCAAATGTGGTGTTCCAGAAAATATCCATACACAACTCTCCAAAAGGTGTTTAACCCCAGCCTCCCCCTCCTTTAATGAAGTTCTATAGAGGGCATGGATATTTCCTGAAACTGCACAATATAAATCACACAAAGAGCAGATCAATACTTGAAACAAAAAACAAGAGAGTGCTTGAGTGCTTGCCATTGGAAAACATTGTTTACTTAGTGTATTTTTAACCACTTAGTCAAGAACATGGTTAATACATAACCAAAACAAACACATCCACAATCAAAAAACCCCCTCACTGGACAGTAAAATGGAATGGAATGGAATGGAATGGAACAGAATGAAAAGGAATTGAACTTTATTGCACACTCCCAAAAGTGGGTTTTTCAGTGAACAATACAAATACAAAAGTACAATAAAAATACAACCAGAGAATTAAAAAGTGTAACACTATTCTTGTTTCAAAAACTCATCAAGCATCTTTGCTTTAAGATTTTTCTAGCCAACAACAAAGCACCTGGCATTGACAGTATTTTGTTAATACCTTTAGAGAGTTTGGAATGAAGTCTCCAGTGTTGGGGTCCAGCCCAGGTTGACATGAGGTCAGACTTGAAGTAAGAGTAGTCACTTGGCTGAGATGACAGCTCCAAGCACAGCGTGCCTGCAGATGCAGCGGCAGGATCAAAAGTTGTTCTGCATGTAAAAAATTAATAACATTTTACAGTAAAGTTTCAATACAGTTGCATGTGGGAATTCTGCCAACTTAATATAAAAGGAAGCTTCACAGTTTTGAAGCATACTTTGCCAAAAAAAAAGATTTAAAAACTTAAAATGGTTCTACAGGTAAGAAATCAAACAAGACAAACTTTTAATTACAAAGAAAGTTAAGGAAGTCTTAAAACAGCATCTGCAGATTGAGAAGTAATAGGGGACTAGGGGCAACATTCTCTTTCAACTTGTTCTGCAACATTGCTGCATTGCAAATTAAAAAGACCGTTAAGCGTATTACCACCTGTGTTGCAAGTGTTGGTAACACATGTGAAGTAATCAGAAGTTCAACTTTCTCCAACGTTTCTGCAACTTGCAATGCAGGTGGTAAAACGCAACAATGCTATTGAAATTGCAGTGCAACAACATTGCAGGACAAGTTGAAAGAAAATGTTGCCATATTACTTTGCCTTTAGCTGATAATTCACTCTGAACCGTTCGGTGTTACACTCAATAAATGAAGTTGATAATGATGATGATGATGATGATGATGATTATTAACCACTTTTTTTGTAAACAAAAATCAAAAGATGATTATTTACAGACCTTCCATCCCGGGAAGTAACAAGCCTTGCTTCTTGTCCGTCAGCAAAAGCAAGTGATGCATTACAGATTGGATTATGGAAAACACTTTCACAGCGATCCCTTCCAAATTCCATGTCCTGTGAACCGGACATTACACAACTGTTAAAATCTATTGTATTTTTTCTCTTAGGCAAGGAACGTAGTGAACCTGCGGACACCTATGAATATAACAGCCAGGTTGTAATCAGTGTGTAACCTATGATATTAAGAGCAAGATCTTATAAGTTAGCATTACCACCATATTACACAGACAGTGTTCACTTACCCCTCCCATGCCAGCCACATCATCATCACTGTAGTCATCACCCATTGTTTCTGGAAATCCGTAGTCCGGTTCAGGCTCAGTAACTATCAAATGATGCAGAATGCCACTTCACATCAGTATTTCTTTCTAAGTGTACATGTAAAATTTTCACATGAGCCCTTGAGAAGCTCTATGGGACAACTCTTTCACATGGAATAATTATATTGGCTTTCATTATAGGCACGCAATGTGTACAGAGGGTAACAAAACTGCATGGCTAGGTCCGGAGCCTCACATGGTTGCTATACAAAGTCCAAACCTTGCTAAAGCCTTGCATCTGAGATGCAAAAATCCCTACACTATTAATACCTTCAAGATATAGTCTTGTGTGCTTTTGAAGTTCCAGATGGAACCACAAACTAAGGCACTAATAGCTATCACTCTGTTAGCAGATTTTTTACAGGGCTTGTACACCTTTTCAGAAACAAATTTACAGGACTCAGATTGATTTTTCCAGGAATCTTAAATTCACATTAACCCTTTAACTCCCAAGACCTCAAAATTAATTCCTCTTACTGGCTGCCATACAGCTCATGTAATGTCAGTTCTGGTAATTTGGTTTGGTCTGAGAATTAAGCGAATTTTTACAGATTTCCAGAACTTTCCAGGACCAGTGGTTGTTTTCTAGGACTTTCAGTCCTGGAAAATGCCACAATAAAATTCCAGGACTTTCCAGGTTTTACAGGACCTGTTTGAACCCTGTTTCAAGCACTACAGGGAACTATGGTCTCTCACCCGGTGCATTCACATCAAAAGCGTGTTCATTCTTCTCCATTTCTGCTACCATCTTACCATAATCAGCGTTGGCCTGTAAGATTTGATGAATGTGGTTAAATGTAGTTAAATGTAATTTAACATAGTTAATTAAGAGGAGCAAGAGGCATTTACTGGTTTTAGTAAGCATTGTGGTGTTTTTGTTGGCGTTAGCTGTTAGTGTTTCAGGCGTTTTTTGGTGGTTGCAGTATCAAGGCATTTCTCNGATCGAGTGTTGATCGAGAAGTCGATCGAGATGTCAAAGGAGTGTTGATCAAAGGTACATGTATCGATCAACATTCGACTGCAGATGCCTTTAATACACATGATCCCAAAGATGTGCATGTAAGAGCAAGGATACTGCAAAGTTTACTCAGAATGCAACATCACAACATTACAATGGTTTTCATACATGTTCTACTACACTCTTGTAAGGTAATGATTTACGACATGTCTTGCCTCTTAGCTCCGACAGGTCCACCATGCTGTTGTCCTGTGTTGTTTGGCCCTCTGATGATGAATCTCGTGTTGTCATGGTTACAGTTGTGGAATCAAGAAGAAGCTCACAGCTATCATCGCGGACAAACAAGTGGTTCAGAAGCAAGCCCCCAGTACCACCTTCATCAAAGGCTGCTGATGTCTTGTGGAACAATGGATCAACCTATAAACAACATTGACAGATAAATTATTAATCAAATGAATATTATCAGCAGTAGCCCACCATATTTTTTCGATTATATATAGTGCCTAGCGTTTATTTCAAACGTGGCTTCATTGATACAGCAATTATTTGACTTTTTCAGAACATATTTGAGGCTGGGGGCTATTAGGATTTTTACACAATATTTTTGAGAGCTTAAAAAATAATTAAACATAAAGTTTATTTTATTATATAAAAGTTAGTGGGTCTTATTTACAAATCTACCTGTCAGTGTGAGACCTGGCATTTATTTGGGACCCAGCATTTAAATATAGTTAAATGAAATTTAACATAGTTAACGACTAGGAGCTAGTCTGGTCACTAGCGTTTTTATAGGCGGNCACTAAGGCCCACATATACCTTGTGTCCATGTGACTTTGGTCATGTGGACATGAGGCAAAACACAAGATTACAATGCATTAGGTCATGTTTCAATCAAATTACAAGCCCCGTCCAAGTTTTTGTATCCTTCCTGGCCAGAAATGTTCCTGCTATTAGACATCCACTTGGTAAGTTTCATTGCATATGCAAAAGAATATTATTATGCCGGCAAGTGTATATGTACTAACCTTGATTTTCAGCTCTTCCTAAACCTCCTAACATTTTGTAGGCTTGGGCATGAATGGAGTCAACACGGCCAGCATAGATTTTAGCACTTGCATCTAGAGTGCAGCTTGCAACCTGTTATCACATGACAAATAAAGTTATTTGTCATAGCAAATAGGTAACAAGCTCCATCTCTAATAAGCTCCTCCCCCTCTTTAAATTCAGTTTTTTCATAGCTAAAGCCATACCAACCCATTCCTGGCTCTTACTAAACCTTGCCCTTTTACAAAGATGGTACTGTCATCCAACAGTTTTGCACTCCAGCCCCCATTTCGAGACTGTTTTTAGATGAGATTGACAAGGGCACAACTGGACTTCTGGAAATCTTAATGGAGTTTGTTAAGACAGTCCACTGAAATCTAATGATAAGTTTACAACTACCCATATTTAACATTTGATGTACAGTTTGAGTTATAATCCAAATGCAATCTACAGAGTACAAATAGTGCACAAAACGAGTACAAATTTCCCACAATATTCACTGATTACCAGGCAATATTCATTTTTTTAACCTGGAAGTTAGTCATGTCTCCCTCTTTGACTGTCTTGATCAAATCTTGCATGTAATCAATCAAATGCAAACCAAAAGCATTCTTTGCATTGATTTTCTGAAAGAAAACAAAGCTAGACTGAATTAAATTGTTTTCTTTTTAATTCCAAGCTCAAATTATCATTACAAAAATAATCAATCAAACTTTATTTAAAGAGGGTTACACTTAATAGTTTTACAACTAATAAACCTGTGGCCCCCAATTAAGAATTATAAAAGACTTATTATAAATATTTTAAGATCTAAATTAAAAATCTAAATATACAAAATATAAGACCATTATCTACAGTTAAGAAGTAAATATTAGACATTAACATTACTCAGTCTAAAAATAATTGTCTAAAAATGGAATAAAAACCCTGTGCCTAAGCTGACTTAATCTAAAATGTTTATGTAATAAATTCTTTAAAATATTCACAGATTGAGAGGTGCATATTTTAAGGGGAGGTGATTCCACCATTTGGAAGTTCTTACAGAAAACATGCAGCCACCCACTTTGATATCAATGAATTATGTGCTCAGTTGGAACAACTCTATTCCATGGATGTACACTGTATAGTAATTTTTTTTCAGCTCTCCATCTTTACATTTAAAAGATTTCAAGGGCATTTCAAGGTTCATCTGATTGCTCCAGGGGCAGTAAAAAGAGACACCTTCAATCCTGGGAGAGGAAAGGAGAGGGGTGGCAAATGGTTTTTCAAAAACCATCAAATTTCACAGGTCTTACAGTCTTGCTTTTTTACCAGTTATTAGACTTGCCACAAGCCAACCTTTGCCTAATCCTTAACTTTATTCATCTTCAGTCTTTGAGCGACAAAGTCTTTTTCATGCCAGTTTTACCATATCTACTATCAGATTTAACTGATAATGATCAATGATCAATGAAATACAATCGATGGGCAATCCAAGGGTGTTCAACTGATTACACGCTGATTTATTGCCAAATATCAATGAGAACAGGATGACGGGTAACAAAAAAAATTGTGATGTACATTCATTACTCGTTGTCTTGTTTTGATTCTATTGACAACTCATCAATTTTTTATCACCTGTTAATTAATATTTATCATTATTATATGGTTCTGTCTCACAAGGACTGTGAACTACCAAATTCACGAATTTGATTGGCTGACATTGATATTGAAAGCGGTCTAGATTTTCCCATCTAGACTGGCATCTAGACCGGTAATATTTTGCAGTGATAATGTAGAAAACTAAAATGCAAAATCATTGTCTATTTTCTTCTAACAATATTTATGAAAGTGCCAAAAAGCCTGAAGAGAAAAAAAAGTAAAGAGGATGAGTAATCTTTGGCAGTATTAAATTCAGCTCATTGACGTTCGCAAGCAAAATGTCAGTTAGTACAAACCAGTTACATTAAACGAATTAAATTGTTCTTGTTTGCCATGTATTAAATATCTCATTAACCAAGCTTAGTCGGTCTGTACTCACGACCTCGGTCAAGATTCTCCCATACATGTACAGACCTCCTGCTTGGTTAATAAGAGCTAACTATTAGTTGTTCATTAATATTCTCTCATTATGATGCATAACTGTTACAAATACAATCATTTTTTTCGTTAGAAAAAGTGACTCTCCTGTTCTAATCGATAACTGAAAATTTGGTGGGCTATCGACAAGATGTCAGTGATTGACTAATCAGATGATCACCCATCAATGTCTAATATTATTGATTACTCATGGTACAGAGTTGTATATGGCAAACTAGGGGTTCAATAGCCTGACAATATGATGGCCAAATTTCGGGATGTGCAAACATAGCTTTACTCACATTTTCAGTTGACAACTTTATACAGTTTGAGTACAAGTCTTTTAGTTGTACATTAGTCAGACCGTTAGTTCCTGCTGTCTGGCTTCTGGTAAGAAGATCAAAAGAAACATTTCAGTAAGTAAGAATACACAAAAACATAACAGTTACAGTTGTGAACCAATGTAGCAGTAATGTAACTCAAAAGTGCGATAAAGGTACATATATGAAGTTACTACAAATAAACGCCATATAAACTTAAGCTTAATATTATTAACCCTTTAGTGGAGAAACTTCAAAGACTCTCAAGCTTTTAATATTTGTCCTTCCCTTTGTTGCTCTTTTATGTAACATTTTTAACAACAACAAGAAAATAAAGCTGTACCGTTCACTATCAAGACGACTTGCACTTCTCGGGGTAGCAGGACTTTGAAGGGTTGCAGATGTCGCTTTCGAAAGACGTCTTTGTCTTCTTTCAGCAGCGTCGTCATTCTCTGCTAAGTGATTTGTCGGTGTGTTAGTACTTGTCAGGACGATTGCACGCCTTCGTCTCGCACTTGGAGAAATAAAATCCGGCGTTCGAAATGGCGATGCGACAGCCGCCATGTTTCACGGTTCACCGTGAGGAACAAAATGGTGATTTCAAGGTGATTCGAGGGGAGACAGCGATGAGACAGCCTGGAATTACTTTTTCCTCAATCAAAGCTTGACCCAGAAAAGCTGATTAAACTTTTTATAGTTGTGTACTCTTCTAAGATCTTCGAGCTTCGCGCCCAAACAACCGTGTCGACAACCGTCTCTTCAAATCACCACGTGACCTTATGAAAAGTTGCTAACCCTCCCCTCCCAACGTAAACTTACAACGTAGCGGAAAGATGGCTGGTTTCGTGACAGCGAATCGCTGGGCAACAGGGGTTGAAACTCATAAAACTACAGAAGGACGAATTTTGTGTACAGGAGTTGGATGTGTTGGATGTTTTCCTGAAGTTTTAACCGAAGAAGCTAACGAGCTTGGAGTCTGTGACGTGGATCTGTCGGGAAGCATTTTAGGTCTTCGGCCGTTTTTAGACGAAGAAAATTCCCGGGAAAACTTAAAACTGAAAGGAAAACACTTTTCAAGGAGAAAAAAGAATTTGAAACCAAAGATGAGGGGACGCAAAAGAACCATGAAGGAGAAAAAGGTTTCTTCCGATGGAGATCTGAGAGACTTTGAAAATGACAAAAGCAAATCTGGAGATGCCTCAACTTCCGAAAATATGCCCCAAACAACTTCGACCGTAGCGACGCAGACGGAGCCGTCCGAATTGGGAATTGATGGTCAACCGCTTTCAAAACTCGAAAATGATGTGCACAGGCAAGATTTACTAACTCTTGAAGAAGGAAACAGGGCTGACATAGAGGGAAATCCATTTAACAATCACGCACAAATTGGCGCTAATTGCAACATTGTTCAAGTTGACGACAACGTAAACAAAACACACAGGAATCCAGTGGGTTTATTTACTCGCTCATCTGGCTCAAGATTCGAAAAAATCCACGATAAAATGTACATCGCAAGTGGTAAGAATATAGCGCTAAGTTCGTGCGATAGTAATCTCACTTACAAAGACACTATTACCGAACACGCGAAGGACTTTATGACCACAACAGAGCAACAACAGCTGACCTCAACTGGAGAAGACGCAGTGTGTTTTTTCTTTGCCTTGGAATACTACAATAGCCATCGAATGTTACCGGACTTTAGGGTCATGGAGATCGTCGAGGCACTCAGTAAAGACGTGGATCTCAAGGACATTAAGTGTGTTCAAAGAATTTCTCGGCGATGGCATATGGTATTAAAAAGTCGCAAATACATCAGGCTTTTGCGACACTCGGGGTTGAAGTTGAGAGGGAGGGTGTACCAGCTTATAGATGACGTTGATGGATATTTTGATGTGGTTCAATGAAAGAATCGAGTGGTTTATTAAACTTGAGTATGACTTTTTATATCTTATTGAGTCTTAAACTGTTCTGTCACTTGTCATCAGTGGTAGACTTGCAAACCCAACTTTTCAATGAAGGTATGCAAACAGGAAAAGCTTGGCCTTCTGTACCCCTCCCCACTCTTGATCTCCCACTTTTCCCTTCAAATGTGGGAAGGGGGGGGAGGGGGGCGGTGGAGTTGGGGGACAATGTTGTATAAAGGGATGAGAGTTGAATCCCACCCTAAGCCCAACCCCTGGGCTTGCACTGTAGGCAGGTGAGACCACCAACATTTTTGTTTCCCAAGAATATCTATATTCCCTTTGTGGGAAACAGTCAACATCATTTGTTACAACCTCAAAGTAGCCATTGAGAGTAGGGATAAAAATGCTAGCTATATAAAAATCGCAGATATTTCCTGACAACTTTCTCCAGCGGATATACAAAAACAACACAACAACAAAATATGAATTCTGTCAACACTAATTTGCCCAGACCTTGAACAATAAAAATTCAAGATGTGGTCTATCATTACTAGCATCAATTTTAGTCATTTCAAGTTACATCTATGAACCCAGGAAAAGAAACAGGCCAATGTGCAAGTGACACTAGCACATGGTCCGTGCCATGTAATTATATAACATTTATGGTTATATAATAAGTCAAAGTTATATAACCTTTCTAGCTGCTCATGTGTGATCCAAATCTGAGTATCCTGTTCAAATATAGTCCGAAGTTAGGAATATAACGGCTGTCTCAGCACATCACAAAGTATTTTTTTGCTTTTCACTTCACAAGATCCTACCAAATATAGGATCATCACCTCCCAAAGGTTTCCTCTGAGTGAAGTTCATTTGCCTTACAAGAAACTTCTTTTTTTGGGAGATGAATGTTCATGTCACAAGAGAGGAACAAACAGTTCCGAGTCCCTGAAGGGATAAATACCATGACCTCCCAGATGCCAGTGGGGTGCTCTACACTCTAGCTATAGACCACTTAGTTAGTTCATAAGATTTACACGGTTAAGATTTTTATTTCAAAAAGCGTTTTAGTCCTCAATCAAAATTCCAAATTTTCTTCTTAACGAGAAAATACAAGACTTGATAATGACAAAATACCCTCCCTGCAATTTCTAAAACAGCAACAACAAAATGACACTTGAACAAGCAGCTGCACAAAACATTAGCAAACTGCAATTTTTATTATTGGTTCTCGATGAAACTGTACAGCCTAATTAATTACATGAACTAGTTCTCAAGTTTTTGCTTTTTTTTTTACATCAGTAATGAGAAAACAAAGAAATGCCCCATCCCTCCTCAGAAAAGCTCACAACCACCCCCTGAAATTTCTGTTTATGACTGTAAAAGTAAAAGTACTGGAGCAAAGACCATTACTATTAGGAATTCTCAGAAATGCTGGAAGTTTCAGTCTACCAACAGAAGGAAATGTCTTTAATTTATGGCCAATTTGTAGAGCAGTGACTCCATATAATTACTTAATGCCACAAAAACTCTTGTTTTACAAGTACAAGCATAATTTAAATTATTTGCTTCATTAATCTTTATTTTGTATTAGCAGTAAACAAGGCAGAGGTGAGCCTAGCAGAATCAAAGTTTTGACAAAAATCTGTCAAGCAAGGAAACTCTTTTTTGAAGAGGGTGAAGAAGTCACCCATGAACAGCAATGACCCTCATATCACATTGCTTCGCCCGAGTTGCTGGTAATCAGTGTAAAGCCCCAAGCCAGCATTCAAATGTAACACAATGTGTTGGGCACCTATAGTAAATCAACCAACATTAACAGTGGTGTACATACCAAGAGTTTTATCTTTCAACTAAGTTGTTGTAGAAGAATAAGAAAAATTAATCAAAACATAGTGAGGAAACCTAGGATCATTTGGTCAGACAAATCAAGTTGCTACAATTAAATAGAGTTTTTTCACAGGCAACTGTAAAATGCCACTTGCCTGCTACAGAAACAAAGTCTCACTTTATGATTGTGTAAAGAGTTTCAAGTCTTTGGATCCATGTATTATTTCCACAAAGTAGAAAATATCAGTTTTAGAGAGTCACTATATCTTATCTGATAGAGGTAGATGGCTTATGGAGGTCCTTAAAGGTGAATGACTGGGGTGCATGGAATTCTGTTGGGGAGATTTTAATCACGTCATTTTACACAATGCCTGAAGTAGTAAGCGGTTGCCAAATAACCCAAGTTGCACAGCAACAACTTTTGGCATGTTGTTGCTATTTTTGGCACGTAACACAAATTTGCCATTATTGTCTAGCTCTACAGGCCTTGTTCCCCTAATTGTAATAGTGACCTAAATGTTTAACATAATATAACAGCTGCAAGCTTAACCACCGTTATGTGGGCTAACATTACCCCTTCATGGCTTTATCCTGGAAAATAGTAAACTTTCTGTATTACTTAAGTATCTACAAGCACTCAGATGCCATGTGATTTACTACCTTACACCAACAAATAAAGTATATACAGCTATCTTAACCTCAAGAGACTTTTTTGTACAAAGATACAATAAACAGAAGACTAAGACTTGACTATAAAACAGGTCATCTTAAGGTGGTGACTGTTCCCTTTCCATTCTGGTCCGGCGAGTAATTAAGGAAATCCCACATGAGAATTGTGTCATCATGGGAACTGCTCACTATCTGAAAATCATCAAACTGCAGCCTGAAAACTCTGCCATTGTGTTCCTAGAAAGTGAAAGAAGGTGATAAATGCACAAATTAAGAACTGCCTCACAAAGGTGAGGTTGGGTGCCTGAAAAATCCAGGAGCTATTGGCAGCCAGCTCCTAGATAGAGACCACTCCTATAGGTGGCAAATCAAGGCAACCCAGCCATGAGCTTCCACGTAGAAGGGAGAAAACTGGGCACACGACACAATGATAAAACAGTAGAAAGAGAGGACGGGACAGGGGAAGGGAGGGGAAAGAACCTCTGAGAAGAGTCCCAAGCTAATAAAAAACTGCTAATACTCAGGAAAACCTTGACTTAACACAAACTACTACAATGCCCTCTGGTCCAAGAACAAATGGAATACTGGCACATGCACCTTGATAATTAATTTTGTAACCGGTATTTACTTGAAATGCAGGATTCTAACTTGGTAGCAGTAAGGTGGAGTGCTACATGCATCACACACTTACCACAAGAGTTCTAAGGCACAGCGTCCCTGCTGGAGCTCTTGGATCTAAAGCAGCTTGAAGATCCCACACTTTGATTTTCCTGTGACAAAAACATACAGCATGTTACTACCACTGTCAGCAGTTTTGTAGAACAGGGAACCATTAGTGTGTGAGAGTGGATCTATAGACCTCTAACAGTGATGTCAGAACCTTACGAAATTAGGACTTGAAAAGGTGTTAGTGCATAACCTGCCTAACAAGGCCTCTGTAGTGCGGGGATTCTGAAAGCACATTTCACATCAGCTGGCTTTTGCTGGAAAATGCCTCTATGTTACCGGCAATTCCACCTTTGAAGAGGGTTACACAGGGTTATTCTCATGCGTGATTGGAAAATTATTCTTCATGATCTGTGACCTGGAGGTTTTGTGCGACCTGTGAAGAACTTGAATTATTAAACAATATTCGTGATTTTACCACTCTATTCTACGTGATTTTGAGACACCAGTCCTCCCAAAGGTTAGAGTCATCTATCGACAGTGACTTAGTGTGCAATTTGCAATATGGAGCCTTGAGTTAGCCTCTCACAATTCTGCTTTCTTCAAACACTCTTTCTAGTGTAAGAGCTGGTTATTAAAAAGAGTATCTTACTTGCTTATTTTGCTGATTTAGGCAAAGGTAAAGTCTGCATGCGAGCCAAGTGGCCCATCGGGCCGGAGCTTATCCCGGTTTCTGTAGCATGAAGTGACTAGGAGTATTTCTACTCCCCCCTGGATGGGATGCTAGTCCAT